TGAAACACTTTTTTAATGAAAGTGCTACATCTTATACTCATCAAAGGATATCTTATATCTAAACCTAACTGGGGTTATGAGATATCTACCAAAATATCTAAGAGGCCACTCTGACCCTTCTAGGTATAAGGTTCCATATGTACGTTTCTATTAGGCTAACATCGGAATGATTAAATAGGCACTTAATTTGGATTAAATTGTAAAAAAGCTGTAATATTTAACACTTTCATTAAGTTTTTTTTAATTAATGAGAAACAAAAAACGAGAGGTACAAAATTGGTCCTATCCGTCGTTTCAGTGTTGAAAAAAAAGTTAATATTTCTCTAGGAAGAGATAGTATACAGAATTATAAATTTTTTCTGATATTTCGCTTTGGATATTTTGTAGATACTTAGTGTCAGCCTTAGAGTGTTTTCTAAGATGACGGAGGTTTCTTCACACAACGTACTTCCGGCGAATTACCTTGAAAAATCTTTTTGAGGGCCGAACTTTAAAACAAAGAGTGCGTCAAACTCCTTGAAGAAAACTTACACGAGTGTTAAAATAAACAAATTTATTGATATAAAAATTGTGCACCTTACAATTAAACTTTTTTTAACTATATTAAAATAACAAAAAATAATAAATTTTCACTAAAAGTTATATCTTTTATGGATATACCTTTGGATAAACGAATTTTATAATCGTGTGCAAGATTTTTTCAATTCGATTTTAAAAATTCTCGAGATTTGGCGAAATGCGCAAAAAGTAAAATTAACCTTAAGGGGTCCAAGCTTTGGACAGCTCTCCTGACAAAACTATGGTGGCCACATTTCTCAGATTGTGGCTAACCCTTATATTTTGGGGTCCGAAATCCGAATTCGTTGAAAAAAAGTATGTTTACTCAGAGAAAGTACGCTTTTGTGCCTTATTTCTTAACTTCAAATATCGTCTGCACTAATTAATTAGCATATTTGAGGTCACTTTCTTGAACCATTAAAATTGAGTCCTAAAAGTGAAAACCCGATCATTAGTTAAAAACTTATTTAACGTGGTCCCTTTATTTTTTGTGTACTGTATTAATCTGTTTAAAGAACCAAAAAATGATTGTTAAGCAAATTTAAAGATAATTAAGATCAACGGACAGTGTCCACTGTCTGAGTCATGGGACCCTGTTCTGAAATTTATGAAGCACAGTTTTATGGGTAACTTATTTAAAAAAAGGAAATATAAATTATTGAAAAGAAAATATAACTTATTCGAAAATGAAATTTTACTTTTTAAACATTTAATAAATGTAAGTTATGATTAATTGCCTTTATCAAAAAATTTCATAATTAAATAATATAAGTGATTAATTCATAATATAATAAATTAACAAAAAATTCACTTTTAAATTTTAATCACCATCAACAACATCGAGCGAAAGCGAAATTCCGAATAAGTCTCAAAAACGGAAGCAACACGCTAACAACAGTTAATTCTGATTACTATTGATATTTATGTTATATGTAGCGAACATTTAAAATTTATGCAATACATATTTATATCTAAGTAAAATAAATGCTATAACTTTTTTCATTGAATTTTAGAACATCAAATAATCTAAAATAATAAGCTTATGGGAAAATAATTGGCGTTAAGTACGTTGCATGAGTTGGGTAGTCCTATATTTACTGAGTAATAAAATGTAACATCATTTTACATAAATATTTCTATAAAACAAAATGAAATATTTCAATGTTAGCAGATTATTTTAAAATACTTGTTGTTTAAAGCCTATATTTTAATAAAAGTATAATAGTATTTCATATTTTTTATTATATTATAATATATTTTTATTAATAGTACAATATTTTTTTATTTATTAATTCGTGTTTTCGTTCTCCAATTATTTGAAAAAATCATCAAAATTCTAAATTGCTTTTTTTAAAAATATTTCTTGTAGTAATATTACATTTCCATTTCTGCAATTTGTTAAAGAAATTATCAAGTAATTGCCACATCATTATCAAGTAATCGTAAACTTATAATCTTATTTTTAATTATAAACGTCTACTTAAGATTAAAAAAAAACTTTTTTCAATGTTAAATTGTTTCAGTTAACATCATATATGTTCCAAATTAGCCCTTTCGTTTCGAACAAATATTTTTTAAGGTATTTATAGAATAAAATTGCAATAATTTATGCTAATTCCTCATATTAGTTATAACCATAAAGTTAATCTAAAATTTTTACTGTGAATGAAATTTCAGCTGAATTAATGTCTCAGTTTAAAGTTAAGATCTGCGCAATGTACTCACCTTTTGAGACCTTTGCTGCTATTAAATAGGAGATAAACAAATAATTTACAGATGAATGTTATTAAAGTTTTTCAGCCGATGACATTTAAAGTGCTCTTTATTTTTTATTTAAGGATTAGCTAAATACCCGTTCTTCGTACGGGATGAATAAAAAATAAATAAATAAACAGTAAATCGGTTCTGAGAAACCCTACTAAATCATCCTCAAAACTTAAAAACGTATACCTTCACAAATAAAAAGATTGATGGAAGAACCAGGTAAGTGAAATTTATAGGAGAATTTATGAATCAGAGAAAATAACACGAAGTGATTGCATCAGTATGGCTATATTTAATATAACAGAATTGTTTTTTTTTCTACACTTTAATCTTAACATAACTAATCACATCAGCTTTTAGTATGCTTGCATGATTTTTATTTTGAACTAGACACTGGTAAATAAGATCGAGCGAAAAATTATTAGTCCCGCCTTCTAATAAATGGGTAATGATATAGTTAGGATACAATTTTTTTTCGTTTCTAAAATGTCACTTACCTGGTTCTTCCATTAAGTTCTTCAATTAGTATATCTAAATAGAATGATTTGGGTAAAATTAACAGTAAAATATAATTTTTTAATGCCTGATAAAATTTGATAGATGCAATTTTATCATGATTCCTTTGAGCCTACACCTTAAAAACTATTTATTCGGTAAATTATTTTTGTATTTTTGATTAAATGTGTGAGACTAAAAATTACAATTTTTTAAACCAAAATCCTGTAAACCTTCCCGTATGAACCGAAAAATTAACCAATGAATGATTTAAGTATAGTATATTTTGGTTTTATTAACCAGAAATATGGATTTTTTTTCTCCAGAAATGTTATACTCATACTTTACATTGATTTTACTAAATGTTTTTTCTCCTTGTACTGCAAAACAATTAACCAAACTTTTCGACACTTTCTTTTTTCTAGAAGAATGTGCATAGCAAATCAATCAAAATTTGTTATATATAAAAATATATTTTTAGCATAAATTCTATACTAGGATTTTTTTTATAATTGTTATCATTCGAATCTTTTAAAATACAATAGGCATTAGTTTATAAAGAATACCATTAGTTTACGATACTATTAATTTTATTTTATAACGGTCGTTGAACAGCCGATTCAATTTTTTTGATTTACGACTACTTATGTTGAACTCCGTAGCTTTGTAGTTTTGAATCCAATCCAGAAGACAAAGGAACTGGATCAAGCATTGGGAGAAATTTCCCTCGTGGCAGACATTTTTTAGAGCTAACCCGAATTTGGAGACCCGAATTTAGAGCTAACCCGAATTTGCATTACATGGAGATGAAAACCATGAAAACCTCCCAAGTTAGGCTGACGGAAAAGGGACTATAACCCATGATCCGTCTACCACAGTGGATAATTTTCATCAGCACTGTGATCAGTGCGAGCCTGGAGCGGGAATCGTATCAACCAGCCATCACTGGGATTCGAACCCGGGTTACCTCATTGGGAAGTTAGCGCTCTATCTCCTGATCCACCCGGGGTGAATTGAAAAAAAAATTCTAAATGTTGTAGAAAACAAAGCGGATTTTAAAAGACATAATTAGAAACACTGTCAAGTTTTAATAATATTACATATTTTATATAATTGTACATTCATCAGATTGCTATGTTAAATAGATATAATTCACATTCTCTCCAAAGTTTATATACACTCTGGGCTATGCATATATTATTCCGTAATTCTGATTAATTAATTTCTGATGTCTAGTAGAGATTATCTATCCCATGCGGTGTAGGGCATTAACATATTTTGTAAACAGATAGCGTCACTTGTAACGGCATAATTTAAGCAATGCAATTTTGATGGTTGATACTATTTGACTGACGATATTATAATTGGATACTATTATCAGTGGACATGATTTGAAGCAGCATAAATCTGCATCGATGCTTATCAAATCACTGATCAACCCTCCTTATTCTAGGAGTTCGAAATTTTAACATAAAAGCCGGTAGGAGTTATTATGTAATACATTCAAATACAACGGAATAAAACTAGCAGATTGCGTTTAAGTGTGAGTTATTGTTTTAAAAATATTATAAATCTGAATAGTTTTAAACATTTTTATTTAATCCTTCTACATTATTTTTATCAGTTTAAGTCTTTGTGATCGTAATAAGTTTATAATTACTCAGTAAGAAATTGTTGTTGTATAATAGCCACCATTTTAGTGTTGATGAAAACGAAATTTGTTGCTGTGCATATAATTAATTTTTTTTCACATTGATAGAGAGATATTTTTTTATTTATTAAATTCTATTTTTTTTATTTACCGATAACACATATTTTTTATGCATATTAGAATTGTTCTCTGCGTTTCGAGATTTTTTCATCTACATTTAGTTCGCACTTTTTATTCTTATGGTCATGGATTAACAATATGTAAGCTGTTTAGTTGTCAATGCAATTTCATAAACTGTAAAAGGAATATCGATTTTATCGAGATTTAAGAATACTTTTAAAGATACAGTTTTGTTATCAACTGAACCCGTTTTTAATCTCATATGCATTGCTTTATTAATCTTTTTATAATACATTCAAAACATTTAAAATAGTAAAAAAAAACGTTTAGAAAAAAATATTGAAAAACGACTTATTTTATAATATTTGCTTCATTATCACGATGTTAAATAAATATACTTTTTATTTTTTAGCACTAGCCATGTCACCTCCAATAGACCACAGAGGAAAAGACGATAGACTCTCCCTCCTAAAGAATCTTCACCGTCCCAATGGCCAAATAGATGGCGGAGTCCATCCCTATGGTCAAGAAACCTTTGTACAGCAGCCATATAATCGACAACAACAATCTCGATCTTTTAGCCATTTTGAAACAGAGAAGATTTTCTGTCTCAGGCAACAGTTTCTTACAGCAGCAGCCATCATTGTCGTTACGAGTTTAGTTGCTTTTGTGCTTTTCGTCACCACATTTAGGTGAGTTTATTTTTAAATGTCATCTTTTTCAGTTATTGTTGTTGTTGTTTGAACATTTAGATTACCGCACTGTAAAAAATGGATACTTGGAATCATGAAACTTTGATAAAATCGTTTCCTGTCATATGCTCCAAGCAAACATTTCGTCAAAATGACGAAATAACTATCGTCATTTCTTCAAGGAACGAATTTCATCAAAATTAAAGAAATATTTCACCATTGTATATTTACCAACAAAGAAATCAATCAATCAATAAAAAAAACTTCATAAAGTAATTACCTTTTCAAATAATCACTATATGGCATGGGCAGTATATAGGTGATACAACACTACAAAGACATATAGGGGCTACCCTAGAGCTAAAAGGTGATAGAAAATTACAGACCATCATTACTAGATTCATCAGTGGGCATACTTGTGCACTTTTATACCTGAGAGGACAAAAAGAGTTTCCTGTGTGCCCCAAGTGTAATACACGCCATTCTACTGCAGACCATTTGCTCTCCTGTTTAGATCTGGAAAACAGTGATCTCTTTGAAAATCCTGTACTAGTTCAAGACTTTCTGTGGCTGAACGGTCTTCTGGACTCGATCTAGACAAAGACTGGGATCAAAGAAAGAGATCAAGTGGAATAAGGAACAACAACAGGATAGATAGAAAAGAGCTTAAAATTGATCCCATGCCCGAAGTGGGTTTCGAACTTCAGATCTTAGTGGCACGAGGCCAACTCCTTGACCAGCATAGAATCGACCGGCCTAATTTGTCACTTTATTTTCGATTGTCTAATCTTTATTCTAGTTTCATCCTTCTTGTTAGCAATCTCCCTCAATGCACTACGATGAGGTTTCGAATTGAGGAAACATTTTCGACATGTATTTGAGAGTTCGCTTTCTGTCAAAAATCACGTGATTTTATGACGAAATGTTTCTCAAAATTAACGAATTGCTGCTCAAGGAGTGCTGAATCGCCAAAAGTGAGAGTTTCATATCTGAGAGTAGGGAACAAAACATTTTGGAGAGAACATTCTTCAAATTAAAAATTTAAAACCGAGTAGACAAAACAAGTCACTTGCTTTTTCTTTGTTCAAATTGACATCACAGCTAAAGTAGAAATATTTAACGACTCACTAATAAGGTTTTGTAGTATCCCGTGAGAACTGAAACCCAAAATATTAATATTATCTTCAAGTACGTATACTCTTTAATCACTTATGCATCGTTAGTTTTCTATTATAGTTACAAAATCTATAAAAATAAATAAAACAATTAAAAAATCTCAAAACAAAAATTTATTTAATTGAAAATAATTTTTTTAATGAATCGACAAATTTCGAAGGAGCATTACCGATATTTACAACATAAAAATGCTGCTATTCATTTGGAAGCTACTAATTAGCTTAATAACTAATCTTAAGATACTCTACCACACTGCATGATAAAAACAAGTGACAAATCTTTTTTTTGAAAGAAGACATCCCCATCACATAGTAAAAACAACCTTCAACATTAAAATATAAACTAAGCGAAATTCCTAAATATGATTTCTCTTATTCTTTGTTGCCAAGGCAACTAGAACAGATTCCTCGATATCGAAACTTAGTATGTTATGTAACGCATGCGATTAGTTTATCTTTTTATTACGTTAATGCCACCCTTTGATAACTATTGTTAAGTTATTCTGTTAGATTAAATTTTGATAATGAGTAAAGTACTGTCACAATCTAATTCAGCCTCAGTATATCTTGTTAGAGAAATGCTAAAAGTTACATGCTAATTTAATATTTTCATAAAATGTTGCGTTTTCGTTTGTGATGCAGTTTGCAATGCAGCTATATCCACTTCTCTCGCCTTTTTGTTAATAGAGTTACGCGTAATTGCAGAAACGATAGTATAACCTCGTGAAACCTTAGTTTCCAACGAATACAATATCTCATCATCTATCAAATATAGTTGAATTTGTTGATAACAAAAACGTGTTAAATGAAATGAACATTACATCAATGTGCTTGCTTGAAGCTATAAAGTATAAAAACAAATTGGAAAAATGTATAAAAACGGCTTATTTTTTATAACTTTTAGATTCGTAAAACATTTCATTTCTTTGTGGCTTCGACGCATAATGTGCAATATGCATGGCAAGGTATACAGTATTACTAAAATTCATTGATTTTATAAAAGTTTGCAATTTTTTAGAACACTCGTATTTTTGAACAGGGGACACGGCAGTTTAATTGTTTCCTTTCCAACCACTGCAAGATTTTGCTTTTTACAAGCATTTAACCAAATGCATGCACCCAGAAATATGAGCAATATTAAGGATATAATATAAGCAATATAATATTGAGCAATATAATATAAGTCATAATATAGAGAATTCAACTTCCAATGAGGTGAACCGAGTTTTAATCCCAGCCATGGTTGGTCGATGCAATTTCGCACCTGGATCGCACCGACCACAGTGCTGGTGTAAAATATCCTCAGTGGTAGACGGATCATGGATTTAAGTTTCCTTGCTGTCAGGCTAACGGTGGGATGTTTTCGTGGTTTTGTCCATGTAACGCAAATGTACTTTAGTTCCATCAAAAACTCCTCCACGAAGTCAAATTCCTCCCAATACTTGATCCAGGAGTTTTCTTGTCGTCTGGATTGGGTTCAAAATTACAAGGCTGCGGAGTTGAAAAGTAATAGTTATAAATCTAAAATTGGATCGGCTGTTCAACGACGATTATAAAATCAAATAAAATCACTTCACAATGAGCCGTGGTGGAGGGGATAGAGCTCTTGCTTCCCAATAAGGTGACCCAGGTTCGAATACAAGCGATGGTTATAAAACAAAATAGTAGGAATGGAATCAATTCAATGATTGGCATAACATTATTTTTTATAAGAATTGTAAATGTGTGATTCGTAACATGATACATAAGGTACTCCACATTGATTAATTTATTTATTATTTAGCTACATATTGCTTTTGAACAAATTGAAATAACGGAGCTTTTATATCTTTTGATGGAAATTAAATTTGCAATCAACAGTTTATTTTTAACTACTTCAATTTAATAATTTCAAAGAAGCTCGAAATATAATTACTTGTCAGATCTAAGTTAAAATTGTTTTTAAGAGTTTTTACAGGCTTTTAAATGCTTAAGTAACTGCACATTTAAAATACGGAATTTCTTGAAATCATGGATCTTAATGAATGAGTTTGACTGCATATAGATTGCATTTTATTTTTATGTACACTAGTAATTGTTTGTGCAAGCACTATTCTGAAAATTTTTATCAATTTAGTTTTGAAGTCAAAAAGGAAAAATTTGCCATGATAATTCTTCTTTCAAATGCATTTTCATTCATCCGATAAGTCTGAAAACACTAGACTGATCTGAAAGCAAGTTGTATTTTTTTATAATAACTAAATCTATGAAATCACCGTCTGAGAGTACATACTAAAGTGTATCGTCACCTCATTCATCTTTTCTTATTTGCTGTCTAAACTGTCAAAAACATTCCCATCATTTATCTTCATTTAATATAATTGATCGAGAAAATTAGAATCATGAACGTGTATCATTTATTTCGCTTAAAAAATTCAAATAGTTTTAAGTTTATAGTTTATAACAGCTTCATGGCAAACAAAACACATTTCGAAGTGGAAAAAAAAAACTTTCTATGTTTAAATAGCAATCAATGTGATGTTTAAGTTACAGTTTTTGTAATTCGATGCTGGATATGGTCATTACTAAACAAAACAGATTTATCAAGAGCTTTCTCAAAAATAATATGTTATTTTTGAAAATACATGAACGAAGAGAAATGAGAATATTTGAAAAAAATCTACTAATAATATTACAATACAACAGCTTTTCAAAGAAAATTATTTTTTTTGTTTATTTTTAATGACACACTAGACTAGTTAAAATATATTTTGTTCCCAGTTTTATGAAGCAGTACTTAATTTTGGTAAAATGACTTTGGTGCTCATCCTTTAATGCTCCTTATAATTTTAAGCACCTTCTTTTAACTCAGATTGGGATATTACTTTTGTGTTCATTGATCGAAAATAAATTTTAAAAAAAAAGTATACACATATAATGTTGTATATTAATACTTGTAATCCAAAAACAATAATGTTATCATATTCCTACGAGTCAACTTCACAGAAAAGGCGAAATTAGAATCATTAAGATACTGTTTCAGTATTGCCGGATGAAATTACATTTCACCTCCTCGCCGTTTTCGTATGAAATCTTACAAATTTTAATGTATGAGGGGAGGCGGGATAGCCTGGTTGGAAGAGCACTGGGCACATGTCCAAGAGGTCGTGGGTTCGATCCCAGTTGACTGAAGACTCCCCGTGTAGTAAATGGTAACTGATGCACATTAAATCTATTGAGTCACAAAGTCCTCCATGTTCCCATAACAATTCATATCTCTGGGGGTACTGTTCCAGGAGTTTCCTTGTCTTCTGGATTGCTGCAAAATTACAAGGCCACGGCATTAGTAGTCGTAATCCAAAAATTGGGTCAGCTGCTCAACGACGGTTATAAAATAAAATGTTAATGTATCCACCTGGTTGTAAGATTTAGAAAACCTTTTTTCATCCTTTCTTAAATATTAATTTTTGTTTCGTTTATATTTTCTTCTAATTTTTAACAAGGGTTTTAAAAAGAAATACAGGGGGTTGTAATTACGGTACACAATGTTTGTCAGTGCTTAAGGACTAAGATTTTTATTCTAATAATCAAGAGAGAAAAATAAAGAAAAATATTTGCAGATAATTAACGTTATTATTCCTCATCTATTATCCGTTTATAATTTTTCGTTTTAACGTGAAATAAGATTATAAAAAAACAATCTGTTTTTCATGAAATAAGTTTTCTGTATTTTAAGCATAAAACAATATTTCATTCCAAACATAACTTCAGTTAACGCTTTGACTAAAAGTGAACCAAGACAGTACAAAAAATTGACGTCTAGTGTGCTGCAGAAAAGAAGGAAAGAACGTTTTAATAGCTTTTGGTTGGAATTTCACGTTCAATGTCTGACCTACACCGATTAATTAATTTTTAGCGCAGATTACAATGTCTGTGAAAAAATAGCAATTTCCTTTAAATAAATGCTATGATGTTATTCACTACCAATTCAATAATTTGCACAAACAATTGTTTTTCGTTGTTTAAGAGAATTATGGATTTAAAAAGAACATAATTCAAAAATTTTCGCTAGTTTTAAGAAGCATCGTAAATGACCAATGATTTTCTGAGGAGTGCTAACGTATATTTATGTGAGTTAGCAGACCGTTTTCATAGATATTTTATCTATTCTAACACAAAAAAGAATTTCATAAAATTTAAATTTTTTGGCTGGTTACTAACATTGAAATTTGAGCAGTGGTGGCTCAGGGGATAGAGCGTTCGCCTTCCAATGAGGTGAACTGGGTTCGATTCCCAGCAAAGATATGTCGATGCGATTTCCCCACCCGGCTCGCACCGACCACAGTGCTGACGGAAAATATCCTCAGAGGTAAACGGATCATGGGTTAAAGTCCCCTTGTCGCCATTCTAACCATAGGAGGTCTTCGTGGACTTCCCCCTATGAAATGCAAATGCGGGTAAGTTTTATAAAAAAGTCCTCCAAGAAGGCAAATTTCTCCCAATATTTCCTTGTCTTCTGAATTTACAGGATACGGATTTGAAATTACAAGGATACGGATTTGAACATTATTAGTCGCAACCCCAAAATTGGGTCGGCGATTCAATGATGGTTATAAAATAGTATCAAAATTTCTCATTTATCATAAAAAATTATAAAATATTTTCATAGAATATTAAATTTGGTATGAACAGAATATAGCTCAAATTTCATGACAGAAAGGAAAAAAAAAAGCTTTTAAGAAAGTAGACATAGTGTTTGGATCCGTGCTTATATATTAATGTTATGACCGTCGTATTTTAAAGGAATTGAATAATGAAAATTATATAGCAGTAATTATATAATAATCCTAGTAATTACTCTGAGTAACAAGGAAATTAACGTTGGGTATGACATTTTTGGTAAAAAAAAAAAGCAACAGCATAATTCTTGCTTATGAAACCAAACTATACAGAGTTTAAACCATTCATTCGATAATTTTCCACTCCTGTCTGAATTGTTTGCAGGAAATTCTGGTTTTCAAAATCATAGCTCTTATTTCAGCACATTTAGTAAAAAATACAGAATTTAAAAGTAAATTTGAATAAAAAAAATTGTTTTTATGCCATGCATGAAGGTATCATGACAAAAATTGCCAAATTTTACTACACTTTCTAAATTTTATAGCATATTATAAAATCATTTTTTATTGTTAATCTTAGAAAATTCATTAATTCCATTACCAATGCGTTTCGATAAAAATTACTGTGCTTTTTGTTGTTTCCATAGATATTAGTCACAAAATTATATATTCCATAGATATATTATATATTCCATAGCCACAATTTCATTATCTAAAAATTATATTTAAAAAAAATATAATCTTCATTTTTTATTTTTCAAAAAAAAATAATAATAATAATTCTCTATTATAGTCTAGAATTTTTCTTTTCTTTTTTAAATTTCCCTTTTGTTTTTCTTAAGAATTAGAATGCTTTCCAGTTACAAAATTGTTTATTCTTACCTTAAAAATTTTTTGACATTGTTTTCAGCTTCATTTTCTATTTTCTGTATATTCTTGTTGCAATTTTATGTGTTTTATGTATGTTTAATGTATGTTTTGTCTGTAGAATGCATGTTCTACTCTCGTGTGCCCTTGAATAGGGCTGACGAGATTTAATCATAGGGTCGAGAAAAGAATAAACAATATTCCATAGCCACAAAATATATATTCCATAGATATTAGCCACAAAATATTATTTTCGAAAATTAATTATTTATTTGTGTATGCCAATTCTTTAAACAACAGGAAAAAACATTCAACTCATCAGTTGTGAACAACACAGCTAAATCATGTACAAAACTGAAAGGTAGAAAGGTAAAAAACTTAAAATAGTTACAATATTTTATTTTTTATTATTAATTGTTACCCTTTGCAGTAGCTTTACGTTATTAGATTAAGCAAAAGCATATTGTTAAGCAAAAGCACGGGGAGGCTTCGGTCTGTGGGGATCGAACCCACGACCTTTTGGACATGAGCCCTGTGCTCTACCAACCAGGCTATCCCGGCACCTGCTATTACTGTATTATTATAATATCGCTTTTTAGTTCATAGCTTACTTATTTTATCTCAGTTACCGTTGATTTTAATTTATTTTTAGTTTCATGGAAGCGCGTTTTAAAAAAATAAAAAAATAAATACGTGGTTTCAATTAAATTTAGGAATAATAATTTAGTGACGTAGTCTGTCTATGCTACCACGTTTATGTTGTCATTGAGTTCCCCTGAAAAAACTCCTTTTTTTAATGAGAACTTTAAACTATCAAATATAATTAAAATTAATTAAAAAAATTTTTTATTAAAAATTTATTAATTAAAAAATTATTAATTAATAAAGTATTAATGAAAAAATTATTAATTAAAAATTATTAATTAAAACAATTTTAATTAAAAAAATATTTATTAAAAAGAAAAAATTAATACAGTTAATTATTTTTGATTAAAAGATTTGATTAAAAAATATTAATTAAAAAAATATTTGAAAAAAAATCGCCTATAGGCTGATGCTAATGCTAAATTAATTAGAAAATTTCTTTTTTTAAATGTCTCTCACGAATATATAATAGCTAAATTAAGTTTTTTAACAATTTATGTCAAAATTTATATAATTTCGCCCTTCGGTCGCTGTCCGAATTTCAAGATTTAAGGTTCTGGTGTCATAAGCGAGAGAGGCATTAACAGACACACAAACGCTTCATTTTATTACACCGACAATTCACTCATTACAAGAGTGCACAAAATAAAAAACAGACCACCCTGAATAGCTTTTTATCTAATGTTTGGATCTTCACGTTCTAGGAGTCAATCTTGATGGTTCGAGGATGTAACCATAAACGTGCTAATTATTTAGTGCAGACGATATTTTAGGTTACGAAATCATACTTTCTCTGAATAAACATACCCTTTTTTCCGACGGATTAGGACTTAATAATATTCGAAAGACTTATGAATTGAGAGATATACAATTTTGTGTTATCATTTTAGATAATTTAATTTTGAATGACGAAATACAAAATTTGAGCGGAATCGATCGAATAGTTTCGGAGAAATCATATTTTAAAAAAGTCGTATTTTTAAAATTCCATTTCTCAGGAACAATCGGACCGATTTTGATCAAACTTCACATTTTGCCATGTAAAAATGCATTCTTTAAAAGGATGTAAAAAAATAAGATTTTTTTTTGAAAAAAAGAAACATTGCTAAGCAAATGGCTGATGATGTCGTAGATGATGGTAATGATGAAGATGATGAAAAAGTTCCTCTATAACTTTATATGAAAGCGTTAGATGCTTTTGACACTATTCGTGACCATTTGCTGTTAAATTCAGCAACTCAATCCCCTCCATTATTTATTTGTATAAATATTTGGCGTCGTTAACAAATATCGTTCAGTTTACAGTCACCGTAAAAGTTATGTATCTTTTACCAAATTTCGGAGCAGTCAGCTCCACCATGGAAGTATTTCTCGGTCACACTTAACAATTTATGGTGTAATTAAAGTAAAATATTCTTTCATTTAACCAAATTTTGGGACAATGAGAAATTTTGCACCAAATACTGGTTAAGGATTTGCCGAGCTTATTTTTTTTACGGTGTATTGTTTCTTTTTCAGAAAAGTGCCAACTGACGATTCCTTCCTAAATATAGAATCCATGTCTATACCCCAAGACTTTTCAACGACGCGTGGTCAAATAGCGGTCAAAACGAGCTGCGGTCACGTGATTGGAAAGTCGGAAGAAGGTGCTTATGCTTTCAAAGTAAGACATTTTCTGTATTTTCAATCCACTTTTCAGCACTGAAAATGTATAATGTTATAAAAAATTAACTATATATAACTGTAGCTATATCAACGTAAGATCCTACAGTAATGAAAATTTGTTGAAATGGACAAAAAATAACACGAATTATGTTTAAAACTAAATATTTTTTATAGCAATATGTCGTAAACTAATTTTGAAAAGGAGTTTTGCTTTCTCTGTCAGACAGAAATTGACCATTTAATAAGATTTTTCTTCAATACACGAAGTTTAAGACGCGCAAAGGTGGTTTGATGCAAATTTTTCTGATTATCTTTCAGAACAATAATGGTCACCATATTTACCAGACTTTAATCCCGAGAGTACTTTTATAATTTTGTTCCGCCTTGGAGCAAAGAATTTTTCCTACGAATCATGGTATAAAGTATCGGCACTGTGGGTACATCACCCGCAAAATACATTTTTACCGTAAAATATTATACCATAGTTTTTACAGTAATACTTATTTAATTAAAGTGATTTAATAATTATTCGGTAATTATTACTGTAAAAGTTACGGTATATCAGATTTTTTGTTCCGAAAGTTTGATTCCGTTCCATTAAAGTTTAAAGTTAAAGTAACTCAGGATGTCGGTACTTCAAACTGTGATTTGATCTGAAATTTTTTTGAAGTGCAGAAAAAGTTGTAATACATTCACAGTAGGGCAAACGTGGTCAGTTTGAAAATATGTAAATACAATCATTTCGATTAAGCAGATCAAGTGAATTAATGCCACTTTGAATCATTAAATTTTAAAATATTGAAGTTAACAAAATGCATGAAACAGTTCAGTTGTTCAGTTTATCTTTAACATAATTTCCATTTTATAAAACGGAATCTTTTAGAATAGAGGGAAAAACTGATAAATTACCCTGTCAAGGAATAGAAAAAAGGATGGCTTTAAAGATTTCACCAATACTTTCGATGTAGCTTTTCTCTCTCTAAGTCTCTATACCGGGAATTTTTAGGGAGAAATTTTCCGTTAACTTAGTAGAAGGTTCGTCGTATTCGAAGAGGTGTTAAATTTAGTGGTAAATTGGGGAAGAATACAGTTTTGCTGATGGAGAATAAGGAAGAAAAAAAAGAGGTAAAATTTCGTGCGCAGGAAATTGCAGGTGAAGTTATCATGGGGAATTTTCTGTAGAAGATCGATGAGATTTTAATGTTTGTAGGCGGATATAAAGCAAACTGAAAAAGTAGGACTGCTGTTCTGAAATTGCGTGTCAAGTTTATAAGTTGAAAACATCTTTCATGAGATAACAGTTTTACGTTCTGGTAGTGTAATATGCTACGATTTATGAAAGATATTTTCTGGTTTAAAACAGTAATTTCTTAAAAAAGTTATGATGTTTAGAACCCGGGTTAGAGTTCAGCTCGATATAAGTATGGAGAAAAATATTCTGGTAAAACTTCCGTGCTGTATGGTAATGACGTTTTTGCAAAAAAAAAAGAAGAAACATAACTTTGGTTAATAAAACCAAAATAAACGGTTTTTAAACAATTCATTAAGTAATTTTTCCATTCCTATGGTAGCGATTTACTGAAAATTCAGGATTTCAAAAATGTAGTCAGATTTTCCACACCATTCAGTAAAAAATAGAAAACTGCAAAGTAAATTTAAACGAATAAATGTTTTTATGCCATGCTTTACAGTGTCATGATAGAATAACCAAATTTTAAAAAAATTTTGTCACATATTATAACACCATACTTAATTGTTAATTTCACCAAAATCATTACTCAGGGGCCTCGATAAAAAATTTTGTACTTTTTGGGGTTTCTATAGCCCCAGAAATACGATAAATTTTATCATGTTCTAGTAGTTTTTACCATACTTTTTTTCTCAGTGAACTAATTCATATTTTATCCTTCTATTAATAATAATAAAATTAAGATTACTAAAATAACACTAATAGTAGAAGACGTAGTTTTCACGTAGTCACTAATGAGTCACTAATTGAAAATATAAATCATTCTTTCTTTTTCTAAAATGAAGGAATAAGATTACTAAATGAATAAATCTCCATTATACACAGATTTTTAATTGATTTATTAACTAAAAGAATAATTAATATCCATGAATTCCAGTTTTTTTTAGTAAGAGCTGTTCTGGAATTAATTAATTTCCATTTATTACTGGGATTTTAGATCATACTATCCAAGAATTGTGAAGTTTCATCAGTAGAAATAATAACTCAATAGAAATTTGATTTCGCAGACAAGTGCCTCCAATATGATGCGACGATTACCATTTGTGTAGCATATTTGATGAGAATTCGGGCACTTACGTATTGATTACACCACGTGATTTCTATATCAATATTATCAACCCACGCACTGAATTTGAAATGCATTTTACTGTATTGACTGTTTGATTATAAACTGTAACTTATACTGCTAAGCATTAATTTTAATCATGATTCTAAAATGGATTTAAAAGTAACTGCAAATTCAAATGCACTTGTGATACTTAAGATTTGTTATGAATTTAAGAACATATGTTAATTTTTAATTTTATTAATAAATTGCCCTATGTTTTAGCTCGGTAAGTAAAACACACGGTAGAAGTTTTATTATTCATATGTATATAATAATATATATATATTCATATAAATTATGTGTTACTAATAATATAAATCACTTTTGGGNTGGTTATTTCAGTTTCCGTTTTTAAAAGCGCTATATGTTGAGCCACCTCACCATGTGACATTCTTAGCCGCAATGATTGGTCGATTTTCTAGCGTTGCCATTCGGGGAGTTGTAAGGAGGCTTTTTCTTATCGCCATGTAAGAGAAATATATATATAGATATTTCAAACTTGGTCATTTCTTACAGTTTTCGCTTATTAGCTTTTTAAATATGAAGAACTCTAAGAATTTCGAAAAGAATCAAGAGTTTAGACAATAATTGAGAAACATTTCCTGAATGAAAAGTTTTTCTCATCTCGGAATATTCTAAGATAACCTTCTGCGCTTAGTTTGAGTGTCATGAAAAGTTTAGTGTGAGTTTTAAAATGAAGAAACATAGATCAAACGTTTTTTCTCTATCACATTAAAAATTTTTTAAAAAGTTTTACAATTAAGTACTTACAACTTGAGAAGAAGAATACAATATGTCTAACCGCGGGATTTAGATCAGAATAAATTGTGTACCTGTAAGCGACGTCACGCGTTTGTGTTGAACCTTATTCGCTTCTGAATCGATAAATGCCACGATTTACCGACGATGACGTCGTTTGCAGGTATTCAATTGTTGATATGTGGCTTAAGTTGACTTTTAACTTTAGTTTATAATCGAGGAGAACTTTTAGCGCATGCCGCTACCTGAAAGTGTTACACCTTTGCAGTTTCTATGTGAGAGTAAATCAGAAGAAAAATCGTAATTTTATTGATTTCTTAAAAATATTTCTCAAAGCAATTTTTGTCCTGAATTGTTAAAAAAATTTGCACAAAAATTTAAGTAAGGTTTGTTTTCGGAATCAACTTGATAATATTGTTAAAATTAACAATAGAGCAGGGTAAAATTTTATAATTTCATCATATTATCTTAGAGCATTTAGTGAAAATCGATTTATTTGGTTTAACATACTTTTCTATTTTATACTATTTTGGTAATAAGAACTATAATTTTTGAAAATCAGAACGGAGCAGTTATCACATAAACGTAAAAATTATCCAATGAATGATTTAACCCTTTGACCCTTAATTTTAATGAAACATACTTTTGATACTTTTTTCAGTATTTTGTATTAATTTAGAACAAAATAAACAAAGAAAATACTAAAATAATTTATGGTTAGGAAATCCAGAATGAAACATTGGTGTCTCTTTATGTGTTAATAAAATAATCTAATCACGGTTCATTATTTTTAATTATCTGAAAGAAACAGTTATTCATCATTGAAATTTCTTTAATTTACTAAATCACTTATTGATAAATTTTTGAATATAAATGAAAAAAAAAGTTTCTCTTAAAATATTTGTTTCGGATTTTATATTTCACCATAAATATAATTCTATCAATCTTACAGATTTTTTTAGACTGTTGTTCTATAATTAAAAATACCAATATTTAATTTTGCTCCTAATTAGAGAGTGATAAAAAAAAGGGACGCTAGTGTCTCATCTTTGTTAAAGGGCTATAGTATATTTTGATTTTTATTACCAGAATTATGTTTTCTTTCCTCCAGAAATAGCATTTTCAAACAGTACTGTAATTTTACTAGATTTTTTTTCCTTATAGAGGGACATATTGTAAAAAAAAAAAGATTAAATATGTTTCTCTCCCCTACAGAAGTATGGACAATCGAGTTTAAAATCAAATAATAAGGTTAATCTACAATGTAACGGAATTTCTCCTCAGTTATTTGTATCTTTCTGTATTGTCATCAGACGCATATGATAATCATTTTTATACTAATTAGAGCGGGGTGAATTTTTAAAATCAAATTTCCATTTGTTTATTTAATAAATCTGCAAGATTTTGAAAGATAGCAACGATGGATTTTACTCGATTATTGATCTCATGAATATATCTCATATTACAGCAACTGGCCTCAAAACGCGTGAGGTATAGCTCAGCTATTAAAATAAAATGAAATAACTCACAAAACTGAAAAAAAACTCTGTAAGTACTCAACTATAAAGAGGTACAGTGGTTAAGTTCAGTGATTACATCAGCACATATAGGGTTGAAGTTCGTCCAATGCTAGTTGCTTGAAGCCCACTCACCTTCCATTTAATTGCCCAGAAATTATCGAGCAAGTAAAAATGGCCAATATGCAGCTGTTTTATAACCGGTGTTGAACAACTGACCCAATTTTGAGTTTGCTATTATCAATATTCATCCCCGTAGTCTTGTAATTTTGAATCCAATCCACAAGCGAAGAAAACTCCTGGATCAAGCATTAGAAGAAAAAAAACTAAACTTTATCGAAGGAACTAGCCCACATTTGTTTTGC